TATATATATATATATATATATATATATATATATATATATATATATATATTGGTTGGTCAAATTTGTTACCAATAAATCAATAATATTATCCGGCCTAATCAAAATTAACCATATAGGTAAGATAATTCGTAATGACAAAATATGTAATTTTATCATACATTATTTTCATCCAACAAGTATTTACAAACATCCACATCAGTTATTTGGCGATATATACACAACGATATGCATCACAATACTTGAATACGGTACGATTTCTATAGAAACAATATGCAACTCGCTATGTATCGATTGTAATCAAATGCCAATAACTATCCTCAATATCGCAATACGATACAATTTCCAATACGATATTTATTTTGGGGGTGATTCGTCAATCTTTTGCAAATTAATAGGTGATTTCTGCAGTTCTCAGCACATTTAAAAAAAAAACAAATGTGTATTTTTTTCTCCAATCAAGGAAAAGCAAAAGAACCAAATACAGATACATTAATGTTTATTCAATCAAAACCAAAAAAATTGTTCGACGTGGCATAAAATAAACCTACGCCTCCATTTAATACTATTCAATAAAATTAGTAGGACCGGCAATTGAGCCGGGCCTAACCGAAGCCCGATGGCTCGGCCCGAATATATTTGAGTCGAGCCTATTTTTTAGTGAGCCAGGCCGAGTTTGAGTCATTTTTTTAAACCCGATTTATTTATGAGCGGAGTTGAGCCTACTATGGTCCATCCCGAATAAGGCCCGACTGATTAGGATAATAATAAAATACATAATATATTTATTATTTTAATACTATGACTCACCATTCAAGTTATGACCGTATAAGATTATTTGATTTTGCGAAGAAAAAAGTCAAAATAAAAACCGTATAAGATTATTTGATTTTGCGAAGAAAAAAGTCAAAATAAAAGGAATTAAGTAGTGACGGTGGCAATAAGTTAAATATGAATCAAATGCAATATATCACCGAGATTTGAGAATATAAAATGTTTCCAATAATAAGAGTTACTAATCATTTTTACTTCTTTTGGTTTTATTTTCAAAATTTTCCAATAACTCTCAATGATTGTTTATGGTTTTTTTTATTAGCTTCAATGGAGGTAAATCTTGTTCATCACTTATGTTATAAAAAAAAAAGTTTACTCATTACAATTATATAGTAATGGGGTCCGATATAAACCCGAAACCCGAAAAAATACATGAGCCGAGCTTGAGCCTATTCTAATGAGGCCCGATGACATGTGAGCTTGAGCCTATAGTAACGAGGCCCGATGGTATGTGAGCTTGAGCCGACCCAAGCTCGGCTCACATGGCCCGATTGTTAGCCCTAAAAATTAGTAGATTACCTACCCGGCTACCCCTCCATTTAATTTCGTAGATACCAACTAAAAAATATATAGAAAAATAAAGTATTTTATCAATAAAATACTATGAATTATGATACGATTATTGATCACTTAAAGATACTTTTGAAACAAATCTTGTTTAATACTATATTTTAACAATTTTAAAACCATATCTAATTTAAGAAATAGAACATCTTACAAATTGGTGTTTCAATTTATCAATTGAACCATCTATTTGGGACTACAGGCCGATGATGTGTTAGGTTAATTAAACTCTATGGGCCAATAAAAATAAGCCCAACTTCCAATCTCCGTTATTTGAGTGGTCTACATATCTTCTTGTACTGGGCCAAACGGCCCCTTTGACGGGGTGTCCGTTCTCTGGCCGTCGTAACTTTGATGGAGAAATATAAATAGTGTTGATTCAGCGGTCGTTAGGATATCAAACTTGAACCTCCTTATTACAAGGAACTAACATTCTTAGGATTGTGAAAAAGGTTCAAAATTAAAATTGGATTTAGAATCAAACTCTCACATGTGTCAATTTGCGGTTTGATTAGAAAAAAAAAAAAAAACTTATTTATGTGGTAAAGTTAGGCAATTCAAAAGGTCCGTTATTTAACTTTATACAAGTGTGTAGATATCTTCATATTTGACTTTAAATTTATTAAACTTATTTAACAACAACTACTAGTTTATGATTATCAAGAAAATACTATTTATTCAATGTTACACTCATGATGATCTTCACTCTAAAAAATACTATTGTATTGTATAAATATTGTATTATTGTTAGATAGTGATAATTGAAGAGAGAGAAAATATATTGTTTCATGTTTAAAATGATGAACTTGTATAGTTTTATAATATATATATATATAGCATCTATATTATTGGCATATATGATTAGAGTTGTTGAAACTCTAATTGCTCGATTTATTTTCCACCTACCAAATAACTACACTAGACAATTAAATAATGACATATATTAACACGACTTTGCATGATTGAAAAGAAAATGTAAGCACGACTATGTATTCACGTGGGAGTAATTAATTCCTAAAAAATAGCTTTAAATGTTACTATAATTTAATCCCAACAAGCTGCGGCCACCGGTATATTTTTCATTATCCAATTATTTTAAAAAAATATTCTAAAAATAAAATATTAAAACTTATGCTCTTTAAACATCTTATTAAACATAAAAGATCATCGGTTATTTAAAATAAATTTATGATTTAGTTCATTTGATTTATTTATATTATTTTTTAAATATGCGATGGGGTTGCTCGCCGCTCGGGATCTACAAATCAAACGAATCATTAAATAATTATCCATTTAAAATAGCAGGTGGTTCGGTATTTAATATTTAAATAATGAAAAACAATAAATTATGAAATGTGATCTATTTGTATATTTATTTATATAAAAAAAAAGATCTATTTGTATATTTAATATTGATTTTGTCTGCCACTTGAAACCTCTACCACCACTTAAATTATTATTAATACATGTGTATTTTTTACAAATTAATAATTAAAAGTAACATGAATTATATAAAAGTGCCTCACTATGTCAGTATGTTGTATAATTAAAGGTAAGCACTAAATAAAAAGAATATGCTTGCTTTCAATTAAAGTCTCTATAGTTTGATTTTTTTTTTTTGGGTTAAAAATTGATCTCTCCAAATATATTTTAAACAAATCATAATATAGATTATAGTGTATATAAATCAACAATTTAAAAGTATATATAAGAAAATAAATCATTTGACAACTTCAAGTAATTCTACTTCTATCGACTACCGAGAAATTAGACGTACGGTTATTTACACAAATTAATTATTCATTGTAGCTGGATCAATTAAATAACATCAGGTATTAAAAACAAATACTAAAATTAATACTTACTCAATATACATAATCAGATGTAGCATCTAATTACGTAATATCCACTAGCTAATAAAACAATACCAGCTTGGAAACATGAGGGCCATGTTCATCAACTTGTTTATTTGATTGAATATATTCGGATCCCAAACCACATGGCAATTTCCAATTTGTCCATATCGATAATACACTTTATTCGAATGTGGCTATATTAATTATTCCAAATCAAAAAAAAATAAGCTATTCACTATTTTGATTCTTTAGGAGAATTTATATTTCCCTTTATCATTTTTAATTATTTAGTTAAAAAAAAAATAATTAATGAAAAAAGATATTTTAGACATTATGTATCATTTCTTTTTTATTTTTACTTTTTTATCTACATAATACCCAAATTGATATTTATTTTGAAAAAGGAGTAAAATGAATTGTACCTTTGCACTTGGGATTGATGTATAAATATTAGGGTAAAGTTCATTTTACCCACCTGAACTATACCCAACGTATAAAATACCCCCCTGAACTTCAAAATGAATCAAAACAGCCCCTCCGTTAAAAATCCATCCACCTCTGCTGACATGGCACATTGACTTTTTAAATTATATCCAGTGGCATGACAAGTGGCTTTTTCCGGACAATTTTACCCCTTCAGTACTTTTATATATATGGTCTAATTAGAGGTGTTTTTGTTAATCAGTTAATGCTATTAAATATTTAATTTTTATTTTCCGTCAAATAAATAAATAATTAAAATAAACTGTGAATCAATATTTAATTTTTATTCTAATTTTAAAAGTAAAGTAATTTTTTTTTTGTTGAGTAAAAAAATAAAGTAATCTAATTAAAAGAAAAAACACAATATAATTAAAAGAAGTCGTAATCCAATTTGCTTGATCAAACCCTCCGAATGCACTCATCTCCTCCGCAGCTGCACCATATCAGGACCCAATTCGAATTCATCAAGATTCAAATTCCTGGAGGATAAGTGCCAGTGAGAAACGAATTCGGAGGAAAACCAAAGAGAAACCCAATACAAATCCCTTTTATAAGGGGCACACAAGAAACGGGTTGATGTTTTCGTCGGATTCCGCCGACATCTTGGCCGTGTAGGGCGGAGCGAAGTCGGAGCTGCGCTGGTTTCGCAACGAAGAGTTCAAATTTCTTCTGGATTTCATTTTTTCCGGTCGCCACCGCCAACGGAAACCCAAATAGGGGTTTGTGAGAAGCTTGACCTCCCGCCGGAAAAACATGAGCGAATCCTTAATTTCAGATGTGTGAAAGTAGGTTTTATTGTTTTATGGGTCATGGTACTAGGCAGAGAAGAGGAACAATGGTGATGTGTAAGATGAACATCACTTCTTTGGAAAGAAAGAAAATGGACGAAGAAGAAAGAAAGAAAAGGATGAGGGAGAAAAAGTTGGAGAGAGAATATGCTGGACAAAAATGTAAAAACACATAAAAAAACTAACGGAGTTAAAAATTGTAACGGTTTAAACGTTGACTCAAAATTGGGAGGGGCTATTTTGGTTCATTTCAAAGTTCAGGGGGGTATTTTATACCTTGGGTATAGTTCAGGTAGGTAAAATGAACTTTACCCTAAATATTAATACAATATTCAATATTGGATCACGTGAAATACCACGTTCCCTTAATAATATCCATTTAGATATTTGCATCTTGGGACCAAAAGTGGATAAATACGAAATTAGATTAAACAGCTAATGAGTCTCAAGTTGCATGTACTAATATTATATATTTATATTTTCCCACTTGAACTGTCACACATATGGTCCAATTTATTGTAATTAGTTCCTTAATAATTGTCTACTCATCAATTTCTTGCTAATTTAATGCACAACTAGTCCCCCACTCCCCATGTAAACAGAAATTCAATTCCCCATGTTCATATATATCTCAGACTGGTCCTGAAAGTGGTAATTGATGCAATGTCATACGATCGAGTATTGACAGTCGTAAAATAATTGAATTTCAATTTAAGTGACAATTGATTTCTTGTGTAAACCAAGCTAGATTCACTATTTTAAACATGTCGTTTAATTATCATGATTTACATTCTTTCGTAAAAAACTTGTCGAGCAACTGGACGAGGGCTCTGGGGGGGCGAAATATTTCGCTTTTTTTGCAAAATTTAAAGGGTTTTCAAATAATTGTCGAAGATAATTTAAACACAAATTTTAGAGAAAAAATAAATACGTACTAGACTCAAATCCTTTGCCCTTTACAATTAAATCACGAATTACTCATAGAATACAATATACCAATTCATGTTCTAATTTATCATTTTATTAATAATTAAAAATTTAAAATATATAACATATCAATATACTGCAAAACATGTACGTAATACAAAATTTTGTAATATTACATATGTATAATATAATTTATTTATTTAGTGTGGACACGTCACTTCCAACCTTTTGTATCTACCAAAACACAAATAATAATAATAATAATAAATAAATAATAATATTAATAGCATAATAATAATCGCTCCTCTATATAAACTACAGTTAGTTTCATTTCTCAACACCACTCCACTTCATCTTCTTCCTCCTGAAATTTGCAGCAATGCTGAAACCAGTTCACAAACTTCTTGTGTTCTTCTTCTTCATCTCTCTTTCATGGCAGAAAATCGACGGCCAACAAACATGGCAAGATGCTTTTAAGGTGTTGGGAATCGCATGGAACAAAGACGGAACCAGTTTGAACCGGACCATCCAGATTCCGATGGTCGACCCGACTCCGTACGACGACGGGACCACCACACCCGCACCGATAGCCCTCTCACAGGACATCCAGCTCACCGCCTCCTCCAAAGCCTACGTCCGCCTCTACATTCCGACGAACCCACCTAAGAACAAGAAGCTGCCGTTGATCATCTACTTCCACGGCGGCGACTTCGTCCTCTTCAGCGCCACCACCGTCATCTTCCACAACTTCTGCAACCAGATCGCATCCCAGCTCCCCGCCGTCGTCGTCTCCGTCGAGTACCGCCTCGCCCCGGAGAACCGCCTCCCCGCCGCGTACGACGACGCGCTCAACGCCCTCTTCTGGGTGAGGAACCAGTCCCTCGGGATCGGCGGCCGCGACCCCTGGATGGAGTACGCCGACTTCACAAAAGTCTACTACCTCGGTTCCAGCGCCGGCGCCAACATCGCCTACCACGTGGCACTCCGGGCACTCGACTTCGATTTCCGGCCACTCAAATTCCAGGGCCTGCTCATGAACCAGGGCTACTTCGGCGGCGTTAAAAGAACCTCATCGGAGACCCGCCTGAAAGACGACCCCTACGTGGCACTGTACGTGAACGACGTTCTCTGGACGCTGGCGTTGCCGAAGAACGCGAACCGGGACCACGAGTTCTGCAACCCGATCTCCGGCGGAACATACCTGGGCCGGGTTTACCGGCTACCGAAGGTGTACGTGAAGGGTGACTACGGCGACCCGTTAGTTGACCGGTCGGTTCTGTTGGCACAGTATCTACAGTCTTGCCGGGTTACGGTTTACTACCGGTTCAAACAAGGTGGGTATCATGGGATCGAGCTCTCGAACACGACAGAGGCTCAGCTGCTGTACGATGATATCAAGTGGTTTGTCAACGAAGCCGGTACCGGAGTTCAGGAGAAGCTGCCGGAGGGAGTTTCTTACTCCGGCCATGCTTCGCAGTGATGTAACTTATCTATCTGTTTGTTTACGTACATCACGAGTTTCTGCCTTTTTCTTTTTTTTTTTTTTTTTTCTTTTTTTTTTAGTTTGTACCTTGAATAATGGAGAAGGGCAGAATAATAATAAAATTGGCCTTTTTTGTTTTTTGTTTTTTGTTTTTTTGGGCATTCAAGTATTTTAAATTGATAATAGCTGTATTTTGAAAAACAAATAATTAAAGAAGTAAAAGTGATTTAGTATAATTCAACAAATGGAAAGTGGGTCCACACTCATCACTCCCATCCGACAATATAGATATACATTTCTGCATTTAGATATTTCGAAATCGAGTTCGAACTTTTGTTAAATTCACCTGTCAAGCTCGCTAGTCGGCTTATCTCATTTATAGCCCTACATTAAATTCAATTTAAATAGACAAAATAGGTACAATGATATTTTTGAAATAACTTAAAACAACTTATTTTATAAGAAATAAAGGCAAAATTTGATTTTACAAGGAACTAAAAACAGATTATAAGCTTAAAAAAAAGTTTTTTTTTTTTGTTTTTTTGTTTACGACAATTTTAAAATATTACTTTATGAAAGGTAATGAAAATAGTGATGCAACAATTGCAAATTACAATTTAATCACGTTTTTTTTTCTTAAAATAAATGAATGATTATATCAGAATCATCATTCAAATTTGAAAAGGTGTCAATGACAATAAGGCAATAATTCAAATGTTTATCATCTTATTGTAGAGAAGGGACACAGTGACGTTTTTGGTTGGCCACTACTCAAAGAATTGTACTAGTTTTTGAGCTTATGTCATAAATCGATTTTTTATTTATTAATATATATATTTCAAAATAACATTCATCTGGAATTCTGGATCAATTCAATTGATCTGGCCCATTAAGCAGGTCCGGCTCAACGAGTGCCCTTTAGAGGAGACGAAGCCCACATAAAGCGGTTGCCTTTAATATTCCACGAAACCAGGCGTTCGGGAGTAAAAATCCCACGAGCAAGGCAAATGTCTGGCTTGGATAAATTCGGTATCGAGAGAATGATCGACCAACATATAGCAAGAGATTCAGCTGCCTAGAGCAACTCCATCATTTGTGATATATTCTGCATTTCAGCATATTTTACAACTTTTACCGAAAATTGGAGCTCCAACAGCTCTTTTATATTATAGACCACATGACATATTATAAATTTGGCTTGTCAAACTTGAAACACCAAGGGGATGAAATGGCAAAATCAAGTGATGTTTAGAATATAAACAACCACTCCTGGAGTGAGTCAGAAAAAGTGGTGTGCTAAAACACTGTTCGGTGTGTATAATTTGATAACAAGTGATAAATTTTAGCACAACTGATGGAGTTGCTCTAAGCCACGTGACAACATTTAATGTACGTACGTCCAATCAACTGACTTGTTCACAAAATATTTGTTGGTTTTGGCATGTGCGGCTACTTCACTATTCAATTGAAGGGACATAGTAAATGTAATCAAAGGGTAATTTGAAATGCGGAGATATTTTACTAGATAACTAAATTAAAGATGGGGGTTTGACGTCAATTCATTCCCCTACAAAACACTAAAGCAGCACAAGCCATGCAAGGTACGAAACACGAACCCTAACATTTACGAGTTGTGAGAAAATTCATTTTTAGAGACATCACTGACTTGGCCGTCGGAATGCTAACTCCCGCTTAAATCCGAACGTTTCCTTTCTTTTGCAGATCCCACTCAATATAAAACATAATCCAAAGCAGATCAAAAGATCTAACCTGATAAAACATGACACTTGAAATTACTAGCTACGATGGAAATCGAACGAGCCTAATTAGAACCACCATTCTCAAAACATTAAAAAAAATTCGAAAGTAGAATTCAAGATAAAAAATATCGTTCAAAATTGAAATTCGATAATTTCGTTCTAATTTCCACAACTATAAATAATCTATCCTATTATTTGAAAATATAACGAACACCTAGGCCCATAAGAAAAGGAAACAACACAAAATTAATTCTTTCACCTTTTAGAGCCCAAGAAAATCAAGCCCATGAATAATCTATAAAGAAATAGTATTATAAAAAATAATATCTAAATACATTGAATTTAAATATTTAATTACATTTTAATTTGTCGTAATATTTGTCTTTATATATACATATTAGTTTCAGTACTGAAACCCTACAGTACAGTACAGTTCCAGCAATGGCGAAACCCATAGTCAACGCTCTTCTTCTGTTCTTCTTCATCATCTCCCTTTCATGGCGGCAAATCGACGGCCAGCAAAAAACCTGGCAAGATGCTTTTAAGGTGTTAGGAATCTCATGGAACAAAGACGGCACCTCTTTGAACCGGACCATCCAGATTCCGATGGTTGACCCGACTCCGTACGACGACGGCACCACCACACCCGCCCCGATTGCACTCTCGCAGGACATCCAGCTCACCGCCTCCTCCAAAGCCTACGTCCGCCTCTACATTCCGACGAACCCACCGAAGAACAAGAAGCTCCCCTTGATCATCTACTTCCACGGCGGCGACTTCGTCCTCTTCAGCGCCACCACCGTCATCTTCCACAACTTCTGCAACGACATCGCATCCCAGCTCCCCGCCGTCGTCGTCTCCGTCGAGTACCGCCTCGCCCCGGAGAACCGCCTCCCCGCCGCCTACGAGGACGCCGTCAACGCCTTAATCTGGGTCAAGAACCAGTCCCTCGAGATCGGCGGCCGTGACCCGTGGCTGGAGTACGCCGACTTCAAAAACGTCCACCTCCTCGGCAGCAGCGCCGGCGCCAACATCGCCTACAACGCCGCCCTCCGGGCGTTCGATCTCAACCTCCACCCTCTCCAGATCAAAGGCCTCCTCCTGAACCAGGCCTTCTTCGGCGGCGTGCAGAGGACCCAGTCGGAGCTCCGGCTGAAGGACGACCCGTACGTTGCTCTGTACGTGAACGACGTGCTCTGGACACTAGCCCTCCCGAAAAACGCGGGCCGGAACCACGAGTACTGCAACCCGGTTATATTCCAAAAGTGTATGGGTCGGATCTACGATCTGCCGAAGGTGTACGTAAAAGGCGACTACGGCGACCCGTTAGTTGACCGGTCGGTTCAGTTGGTCCAGTTCTTGAAGAAGTGTAATGTGAAGGTTTATTCCCGGTTCAAGCAAGGCGGGTTTCATGGGATTGAGCTGCAGAACAAGGCGGAGGCGCAGCTGCTGTATAATGACATCAAGTGGTTCGTCAACGATGTACCCGCCGCCGCCGGAATTCGGGAGAAGATGCCGGTTGGGGTTTCTTATTCCGGCCATGCTTCCGAGTGATGATGATGACGTAATCTAATTTGTTCTTTTTTTTTTTGTTCTTTCCTTTTTTAGAATATGGATAAGGTTGTACGCGGTGCAGTTTTGTTTGTACTTTGCTATCTTGAGGGAAACCAAGATATTATCAATAAATTAATTAGTTGAAGTTCATTAAAAGGCCAATAGTTTGAAATTTAATTACTGAAAATTAAAATTTAACAAGACTAGTTTTAAAGTAATTTTTTCATTGTTAATGGGCAAGGTCATTATTGTAATTTGTGGGCCAATTTGGCCACCAATTATACTACTACTTTAGATCCAAAGTTGAATATAAAATATTGGGGAAACCACATTGTAGGTAACATGCATTTGAACTTGTACATCGTGTCGATCTAATGGTCGGAAAAAGTGATTTTTTTACAATTGACCAAAATTCGAATTTCTTTGTCAATAGTCATTGAATCGAATTTGTAACATGGTTAGCATTTACGTCTATCGTGTGGAAGAAGACGTATAGGAACTAATGGAGTAAGAGTTATGTGAGTATTTATAGAAACCGTACAGTTTTTTTTCTGTTTATTACTCCCATTGTTCCACAATAACTGTCCTTTTTTAAAAATAATTTTGTTCCATGTTATCAGTCATTTTAGATTTCCAATACTGCATTAAATGCATTTTTTTCCTGTTTTAACCTTATTAATTCAACTATAAGTATTAACTCTCTCTTATCACATCATTAAATAATCAAAGTTATTTTAGTCTATCTAATATATTTTACCTAAAATCAAGACACATTTATTGAGCTTCTTAATCCTTGTGCAAAGCCAAAAACGACACTTAATAGGGAACGAAGAGAATAGTAATAAAAGAATTCGCAGCCATTCATTTAAATATGTTAGGTAAATCCACTTCTGGTATAATAGCTTACAAACCGCACATATAATTTGTTTCTTCCTTATTTATGTGGACTTGGTCCTTTTTATTAGCCAAAAAAAATAAAAATATCAATAGATCATAATATTGAGCCATTGATAATTAAAAATTAGATTAAATATGAATATGGGGTTTTGGAAAATGAAACATTGGGAAGTGTAGCACTTGACATCAGCACGATTTTTTTCCATGATCGTGTCGTGTCATGCAATTAAATAAGGGCAAATTACCAAAACCCCCCTGAGGTAAGGCTGAATAACGAAAATCCCCCCCCTTGTTTGCGTAATTACGAAAATCCCCCTGAGGTATGTTGTCATCTTACAAATTCCCCCTACGGTGTTACTTCTGACGGAATCTTTTTGATTCCATGGAATATTCCTCCGAAAATGACATTCTTGCCCTTGAGGGGTAATTGTAAGCATATTAATTACTTAGGGGGTAAATTGTAATGTATTTAAAAAATGTAGTTATTTTAATTTTAAAACTATAATGTATTTCTTCATTTTATAATTATTAAAAAGATAAAATGTATATAAAATAATTAAAGATAACATTAAAAGTTTTTATTTCTTTTTTAAATATTTTATATATTTTTTTATTCAAAAAAATCGAGGTTACGTATTTTTGAAATACTCTCGTATTTCTTATTTTATGCTACAAATATTTTTAATAGTTTTTTTAATATTATGGTAATTGTCAATGTTTTATTATATTTTTTCGTCAAAAGTAACACCGTAGGGGGGCTTATAATACTTAAAAAACGTAGTTATTTTAATTTTAAAACTATAACGTATTTCTTCATTTTATAATTATTAAAAATATACAAAAAGAATATATAAAATAATTAAACATATCTTGTAACATAATTTTTTTTACTTGTTTTGTATTTTTTTTTTATATATTTTATATTTTTTTATTCAATCAAAACGAGTTTACATATTTTTGAAATATTCTCGTATTTCTTATTTTACGGTAAAAATATTTTTAATAATTTTTAATATTTGTTTAATTATATTTCAATTTTAAACAAACGAAATGTAAAAAGTATATATTAAATACAAATAAATCATAATATTCCATTGAGGGGGATTTTCGTAATTACGCCTTACCTCAGGGGGGTTTTCGTAATTTGTTTTTTTTCTTTTATTTTTTACATATTTAACAGAAGGGTATAATAGACTTTTCACGTTTTCTGTTAAAAAAAATTGGTCAACCGTTAGTCAAGGGGGATTTTCGTAATTACGCAAACAAGGGGGGGATTTTCGTTATTCAGCCTTACCTCAGGGGGGTTTTGGTAATTTGCCCATTAAATAATTATGTTACAACTATGAGTATTTAATTCTAAATTGATAGTAAATTGAACCTAGCCAAGTGTGGAATTCAGGGTTTTGGATGAGTTTCAATTCCCTGCAGCAATAAATATGAAATTATCTTATCTGGGATTTCTATTTATTCTTTTTTTTTTTTTTAATTATTTTTTACGATATGTTACTAAAATTAAAAATGGTACGTGGCACGTGAAGTCAAAAGCCTATTATTTCAAGTTCCCAACACGTACAATAAATACGTTCATGGATTGACTAGATACATAGTCTATAACCCATACAGAATTTTAGGGATAATTAGTGAAAAAAAACCCACATTATTTACATATATTAGAGTGGAGATAACTCATTTTTTCAATATTAGTCAACCCCTTAATTATTAAATTTAATTATTCTTTTCAAAACTGTTATGAATAATATCTAATTTGCCCTTAATACTATATTATTTCGCATCTATCCTGATTTTATTAGGCAACCAATCGCCTCCATCTTCTTTTCTCTGATTTATGTCGTTCTCTCCATACCCCATTCCATTTCTTTTTTATCTCTCCTGGATAAATCCATGGTGCATGCAAGAACCACTCCATCGTAGCCTCCACCACCCACCATTGAAAAGCATAGCATGAGCCGGTGACTTTAGGAACAGCCTCAAGGACGCGCTCATATCGCATCTCCACTCGCTCAACATTGATGTCCAAGCCGTCAGATCTAAAGTTCTCGTTCCGCCGTCGCCGCCATCGCTCCGATCTCGATAAGTTGTGAAAGACGACATAAAAAACTAAGAAATCCCTCCTACCTCCACCCCTCAAATAAGTTTGTATATCAAAATATTTTTTTTGAAACGTAACATGTTAATATTAATATGTTTCTACCACATACTCTCCTCCTTTCAAATTTATTCTCGCCTATGTCTCATTTTTACCTTTGTACAAATATTTAAAAACTCAATAATTAGGTTAATTTTAAGATAAAATACATAAAAAAATACTAAAATAATATTTATCGGTTATTGATTTATAAGAGACATTAATATTTAGAGTTGAATTAATAATGTTAAAATAGAAAGAAAAAAATTAATACAATATCGACTTATAATATGAAACAAAAAATATTTTTTTAAAAAGTGACCATACATATAAAGTATTTGTAATTGTGTATAAGCAAGTCATATGGTATTTCAAAATCGGCTCGTATAAAAGAAGTAATTGATGGCGATATGATTAACGATAATAATATTTTGATCATATTTATATGTCTTTTATAAATTACATTTGATATAAGGCATGTATGATAAATTCGAGTTTAAAAATATTAGTAAAGGATGTTAGTTTTGAAAAGGCGAACAAAATTCTACAGAATGTAATTAGATTGGAATTAGATCGGAACGTGTTAAAAAATGCTTAACAAATTCTCCTCAAATGTTGTCAACAATCCTTTGAACAACTATTTTTAAGGATGGCCTCTTAATTAATATTTTTGGAGAAAAATATTTAAAAAATAAAATAATAAATAAAAATAAAAAAATAAATAAACCTTCAAAGAGTTCATTGCAGTTCTTGTGTTGTAAAAACATAAAACAATGTCAAAACTCGATCCATACGAACATCTCCGAATTTCCCTGAACCCCGACGGCTCACTCACGCGCCACCACAAGCTCCCCACCTCCGCCGCCACCGGAGAATCCCCACAAAATCCCTCCGCCCACGCTGTCCTCAGCAAAGACGTCACCCTAAACGCCGACAAGAAAACGTGGATGCGAATCTACCTCCCCGCCAAACTCCCTTCCAACGACAACTCCGTCGCGCGCCTCCCCATCATCTTCTTCTTCCACGGCGGCGGCTGGATCAGCACCAGCGTGGCCGACACCGCCGTCCACGAGAGCAGCAACTGCATCTCCTCCGAAGTCCCCGCCATCGTCGTCTCCGTCGAGTTCCGCCTCGCCCCGGAGAGCCGCCTCCCCGCGCAATACGATGACGCGGCGGACGCCGTCTTCTGGGTCAGGAACCAGGCGGCGGATCCAGTCGCCGGAGATCAGTGGATCACGGACTACGGCGACTTCTCCAGATGCTACCTATACGGCGCCAGCTGCGGGGCCAACATCGCCTTCAACGCCGCGATGCGGATGCAGCAGGCGGAGCTGCAACCGCTGAAAATCGCCGGAACAATACTCAACCAGCCGTTTTTCGGATCGAACCGGCGGACCGGGAGTGAGCTAAACCGGGCCGACGATCAGTATTTCCCGCTGCCGGTTCAGGATTTGCTGTGGGAGCTGGCGTTGCCGGTCGGAAGTGATCGGGACCACCGGTACTGTAATCCGTTGGCGGCGGAGGAGAAGGTGAAGAATGTGGGGCGGTGCTTGGTGATAGGGTACGGCGGCGACCCGTTGATCGACCGGCAGCAAGATTTTGTCGAAATGCTGAAGAAGCAAGGGGTGACGGTTGAGGCCCGGTTTGATGACGTGGGCTTCCATGGGATTGATATGATTGACTCCAAGAGAACTATTGCCATTCTTAATTTTATCAAACTATTTGTTTGATTTATTTGGTTTCTATTTTTTTTCGATTAAAGGTGGAAGTTTTTTACTTGGTAACACTTCCTTTTAATTTCAATTTCAGATATTCATATTTGGGAATTGAAATGATGTATAAAATACATTTATAATACTTATGCTCATATCGTTATACATCAATATTGATTCGTCCGATGACGTGGGATTCTTTTGTGGAGTCAGACGTTTGACGGAAGGTCTCGGTGAACTCCGACCGAACTACAAAAGAAAGAATTAAGAGTAAGCAGTACGACGATCAAATCAGTAGGCATCAAATATAGTGTTTTCAAAAGATATACCATTTTGGTAAGGTGAGAGAATGTGTTATGCATACGAATCAGAGCTCCCCATTCCATAGGCAGTAGTGAGTTCTTACTTATATTTACCTTTCGCTGGTTGCGAAGAGTCCCTCAAGAACTGGGCTGAAAGCATGTCGCCTCACTTTTCATGTCAACTCGTCGCACGTTCCATGTTAATAAGGTCCATTCTCATCCTTATTCGAGCCACTCATCTTGGCATTATGGCAGTCTCGAGCTTTCCGGCCTATGTCATCGGTTATTTCATCATTAAATGCCATTGACCTGTTGTCATTGGCGCTTGTCAGAGCAATAAACGCGCTTCTTACCGGAGCTGAGATTGAGGTCGGTATAGTCGACAGAGTGTAGCACGATCGGCAACTAGTCTATCGGTTTCCTTCTAGGCGCATTGGGCCAAGATGCTCGTCTCTCTGGGCTTTACTAATCTTATTGGGCTGCCATGCCTTATTGGACCTCTTTGGAAATTGGATTTTAGGTCTGGATCAACTTCTGAATCGAATCAATTATGTAAAAAAAAGTTACTTTGATTTTTTTTTTCTCACTTAATACAGGATATTGTTTTTATTTATTTTTTAGAATTCCAACCAATCTTTTAAATTTTATCTATAGTCGCAAAATAAATAAGAAAGAAAGATAAAATAACAACGATATAAATATCAATCTATTCAAATTGCTTTACCAATTCCCATAGTTATTTCAATTTATTTATTATTGGAATTTGCTAAAAGTCTTCAAATTTAATTTTTATTTCAATTTACTCCTTTTTTTTTTCACTTATTAATTTTACAACATTCTAGACATACTAGAACTTTTATTGGTATCAAACACATTCTTTATTTTGTATTTAAATAGTTGTCCCATACCTATATGTGCAAATTTAATTTATTTATAATTCCATAAAACTTAAATAAATAAATAAATAAGTAAGTAATTTTGAAAGACTAATTAGTAATTAATACACAGTACATATAAGATAGTTGGATCCGCGTCTGTGTTCAATAATTTCCCCACCATGAATGCCCGAGGAGGCGACGCGCCGCCGGCGAGTGGCGGGGATTTCCTCCTCCAACTCCTCCGCAACCCACCCAACTTCAGCCATCTTACTCCTCCGTCTCAGCAGCAGACTCCAGATATATTCTCGCAGGACCCGGCCGTCGCGGCGGTGGGCCCCACTGTCCCGACCTTCCCGCTTCCGCAGGGCGGCTTCCCGTCCAACGGCACCGATCTCCAGTTCCGCCAGTGGAAACACTCACCGGTCCCTCCTTTCGCCCCGCATCAGTACTTCCAGCAAAACCCTATCGCTCGCCCTAATTTAAACCCTGATTTCCCCTCCCCACCACCACCTGGGGAACTCAATTACGCTCCCCACCAATTTAATCTCCAGTCGAATCGCATCTCGCCGGGTGAAGATGCAAGGAAATTGGCGCCTTACGGAGACAATTCCAGGCCTAGCGCCGCCGCGCATCAGCAGCTTCAGTCCAATCGCATCCCACTGGGTGAAGACGCAAGGAGATTAGGGGTTTTTGGAGAAATTGCCACGCCAAGCGTTGCTCAACACCAGCGGGAGCAGAATCATCTCATCTTCGGGTCTCTGAATCGCGATATTCTGCAAACTGACGCTGGAGATGTTCTGCACCAGAGCTTACATCCAATGGACAAACTTGGGAACTCTTATTTGGAGGAGGTTTTGGGTATGGATAGGAGAATGAACAGGTTTCCGGTGAACGAGGTCAACGGAAATTCACGAGGAAATTCGAGTGGTAACGAGAGGAGAAATCAAGGAGATAATGGGAGTCACAGGGCGTTGGCTCCCCCTGGATTTTCAAGTAACAACATGAAGAATGTGGGGAACCGAGAGCATGGCTATGTAACGAGGAATCCGGATAATTATGTGGATAAAGGTAAAGGAAATTCGGGTGGTTCGTACAAGAATGGCGGGGTGAGTAATCCGATTAATTCGCCTGGTTCTATGATGGGAATTCATGTTGAGGATGGTGGAAAAGGTAAAGAATTGAGATTTGGTGGGCAGAATAATAAGAATCAAGGAGATCGTGCGCAGAGTAAGATGAATGGTATTGAGGATCAAATGGGCTCTCTAGGAATTGAAGAGGAATCCGGTGAGACGAGTGATAAAAAGAAGAACCCTCACGACAAGGTAATTTTCATTGTGTATATGTTTATGGTGAGAAACTGGTTTTCTTGATTGAAATAGAACAAGTTTTAGTAGATCTAATGGTTAACTTAAATCGGGACCCATTAGTGGTTTCTTGAGGCATTTAATCAGGTGAATGGTAGTAATTATTTGCTTGGGTGGAATGCTCAAAAAATGTAAGAGTTTTAAATAGCAACTGGGAAGTGAAAAATGGTAAATCCTGTTGTGATACAGATTTGGGAATTATTGATTTTGGAAGCATTAGTTAATACTGGCAATCAGGAATTATTATCTGTTATACATGACATAATGTTGAGATAGATTAAATCCAAAGTTGTAACTAATTTGATGTTTGAATTACAAGAATTCAAGAGAGAGATAGAGAGAATTTGACCTACATCAGTGGATAAAATGCCAAAGAATTGAAATCACTAATTTGTTGCCTCGGATTTTACATAAGCAAATATTGAATACGAGTACCTTACCTTGAAGTTAATAATGTCATTCGTGTAATTAGACTAAATGAATTAATCTATTGATTTAATGTATGGAGTTGGATTTGATGAGTGACAGTATAGTTAAACCTTTCAATTTCTCTCTGAATAGTACAGCCGAATTAACCTGCTATGGAACTGTAAAAATATATGCTTGGATGTATTTGTTACTTGGCGACATTAGCATCTGTAAGTCGAGATCGGTTCATCTAAAATTGCGTTGTCCTCACTGGCCTGGAATGTGGGCCCACTGCCCAACATATGATTAATAAAGGAATTAACTGTTTCTTTTTGTGGTCTGTCCTTTGTCATTTTCTTCGATTTTGACTTGAGTGAGTGACTATCTTATATATGTTTGTGCAAAACATAATTTTTTTCTTTATGGACCTAGCGTAATTGCGTTTTCATATTCTTTTGTAATTGAACTGGTTTCTATTTGATGAAAAGATAAAAACCCTTAACTGATTAAACTAGTGATTTTCTGTCTTCAGTTTTATGCCAAAGATTTGGAATGAAAGTTGTAGGTTCTTATGTTTATCTCAACTTCTGATAATTTTTCAAAATCAGAATTAAAAAATTTTATGCAGCTATATTAATAATTTATGTCTAAGTTCCCACTATAATTCTGTAGTGCTAATTGCCATTATTCTTTCTAGACTTGTTTAAACAATTAAGCTTTAGATACATTTTCTTTTCCTTATCTAAAGCTTTGAAGATTATGTCCGACAGACATTTGTGTGGATGTGAACTTCTCTCGATTGATATTCCAAATTTGCTCCTTTTGATCAGGAATATAGGTCCGACCAGAGAGGACAGTGGATAATGGGTCAAAGGATGAGACATGTTAAAATGCAGACAGCATGTCGAAAGGACATAGATAGATTCAACTCTCAGTTTCTGACAGTGTTTGAGTCGTTAATCCCAGCTGATGAAGAAAGGGTCAAGCAAAAACAATTGTTAACTGTATTGGAAAAGCTCGTTGCCAAAGAGTGGCCCGACGCACGATTATATCTTTATGGATCATGTGCCAATTCATTCGGCTTTTCAAAAAGTGATCTTGATGTTTGCCTTGCCATAGAACTTGGGAATAATGAGAAGTCCGAGGTGGTCCTAAAGCTCGCAGATATATTGCAGTCAGACAATCTACAAAATGTGCAGGTGAATAATAACGGCTGCCAATTTCACTTAAAATTTTATATTTTATCATCTTTGTCGTATAAATGAAGTATGGAGTTTCATGTTTCGTTTTTCAGGCTCTTACGCGTGCACGAGTTCCTGTTGTGAAACTCATGGATCCAGTTACTGGTATTTCATGCGACATTTGTGTGAACAATATGTTGGCTGTTGTAAACACGAAGCTTCTTTATGATTATGCACGGATAGATGTAAGACTCCGCCAGCTGGCGTTTATCGTGAAACACTGGGCTAAATCACGTGGAGTCAATGAAACTTACCAAGGAACACTCTCGAGCTATGCGTGAGTATCTAAACCAAACCAATTATCTTGTCTTGTATTCCAACCTATGAGTTTTTATTTAATTTTTTTTGCTAATATAATATCCAAATATTATTTCAGGTATGTGTTAATGTGCATTCATTTCTTACAACAGCGTAGACCTGCCATTCTTCCATGCTTGCAGGTATGTAATAATAAACTGCGCTTAAATTCTTTGTGCAGAGTTATCTGGTAAAAAATCACGTCTAATTGCTTTTTTCTTTTTTTAAATTGCTGTTCCTTTTCTTTGACAGGCAATGAATATTACATACTTCAGGAACGTAGACAATGTCGAATGTGCTTATTTCGATCAAGTGGAAAAGCTTGGCAATTTCGGGTCCCGTAATGGGGAAAGCATTGCTCATTTAGTATGGGCCTTCTTCCATTATTGGGCCTATTGTCACGATTATGCAACCGACGTTGTATCTGTTCGTACAGGAAGCACACTCAGGTGAGAAACAAATAAACAATTGCTCGATGCACACACACACACACACTCTCTCTCTCTCCTCTCTATATCTCTTTCTCTCTCTAACATTTTTGAAATACAGCAAAAGAACTAAAGACTGGACTAGGAGAGTTGGCAACGATCGTCACTTGATATGCATTGAGGATCCGTTTGAAGTATCTCACGATCTTGGCAGAGTGGTCGACAAGTATAGCATTAGGGTTCTGCGAGAAGAGTTTGAACGCGCAGCAGAAATCATGCAGTATGACCCTAATCCCTGTGTCACTTTGTTCCATCCCTATGTTCCTAATTAGCAACTTCTTTTATTTATTTTGTATATTCCTTTGTTGCCGTCGGTTGTCGTCATAACTTATTAGGGTTTTTTATTTATTTATTTATTGCTTGGTCGATTATGTCAATATTTTGCTGGAAAAATCTTTTATATGTATATCGTGCAATTTTTGTTTGGCTTGCATTACTATAACATCTCGGTTTCTGCTTCTTGCTCACTGCTATGCTTTCATTCTGGATCGTGTCTTGTAAAATCACGTTATAACTCAAGTGTGAATTAGTACTTAGGGACCCAGTGTAACATTTTGCATTAATCCTCATACCCGCCCAAAAATTGGTTAATGTATCGATCTTTATTGCGATATTCCGTACAGTGTATAATATAATATATGTGTGTAGGTGCACCTAAGTGTACGTGTGTTTAAATTGGTACTCAATAATACAAGATATTTTTTTGTCCTGCAAGTGCATTGAGGGTAAAACGGTAATTGTGACACAAATTTTAATATGGAGCATATGTATTTAAGTTTGCTTTTAAAACTGGTTGTTGAAGGCAACGCATATTTTATTCTGTTTGCTTTGTTTCTCTTTATTTTTTACAATTCATTAAATTTCCAAGTTCTTTAAATATTGTACAATATTCGTTCTTTAGTTTATGCAAAAAAGAGAAAATAAAATAATTTTTTTTTTTTGAAATTTTCAATCTGTCTAAACATGTTGGAGTTTGGTTCTATAACTTGTCCCATGGTCTGAATCAGTGCACGTAAGTCACTCGAAAAACTATCCCGCAAGCGATGACCGGCCTAGCGGTCGGAGTAATTGAACTTGTATCAATTGATCCAAATTCGGTACCCCTTGACTCGATCGATAGGTTGAGTTTGACACACATGATTACGTATCTCGTATGGTTTGCAACCTATTATACGAGAGTGTAAGTTTATTCAGTGCACTTGTATGGTTGACTGTGAAAGTCACTCAAAAACTATATTTCAAAAAATGCACTTAATTGTATATATATTAGCAAAATAAATTTTGCAATAAAAAGTCAAAGATAAATAAAAATCTCTTCTAAATAAATTTGGGAAAATATTATATAGATAATAGAAATGAAATTATTTGAGTTGGTCCCCACCGAAAAAAATCACGAGAGAAGGTACAATTAGGGCATTTTATCATTAGTTAAAAAATAAATGGTGAAAGCTCAGCTGATAAAGAAGGCTTACTAAAATTGGAAAAAGTGCAATTACACTTCCAAGTTGGACCATTAAAATATTTCCATAAATAGAAACCCCTAACTACTACCACAGCCTAGCAATTGCCCACTAAAGATGGTTCTCTACATACATACATCCATACATCCATCCATACATATACATACACTAGTATCAACCATCATCAAATTTAGGCATAATGTATTTCTAATTTTCTATACGAAAAAAATATATTTTTATATAAATTAATAGAAATTTAAGAAATGTTGGGGGGTCCATGGCCCCCTGACCCTATACTGGCTCGATCGCTGCGTGTAGAAAAGATGTGTGTGTGTGTTTAAAGTGTTACGGTCTTAAATGTGACAACCATTCTTTTTGTTGAGTGTTTATTGTATCAACTTTATTTCCTATTTACACCTCATTTGTGGTAAATTTCAGTCAGCAGATGGGGCTTCTTATGGGGTTTCCATGAATTCAAATAAAGAATATTACCAAAGTCATGCCTATTCTTTTTCTTTCTTTATTTTTTTTGATTTAATTTTATTTTTTCTGCAAGAAGCATGTGAATTGTGAATTGTGAAAATCACCAAAATCGACCAATTTTAATATGAGTCGGTTAAAATTATCAGCCTATTAATTATTAATTGTCGGCCATTAAAAAAAGTTGTTCGGAAATATATTGGTTGATCGATAAATATGTATTGTCATTTCGGTGGGGAAAATAGAACGAAATAAAATAAAAATTAATTACAAATGTTTAATGGTACATAAATTGAAATTGATTTGGCGTATGGATTGACACAAGAAGAGGTGAATGTGTCACCTTTTACATCAAATCAGGTCCCATTTTGTAGCATCGATTTGATCATACGACTGAAGCAACTCTTTCTGGTTTGTTGTCCACACAAAACATCCTACCTTAATATTTACTATTGATTAATAATTATATTCAGTGGCACTATTTAAAAAATAAGAAATAACTAAAATTCAGTCCATGTTAAAAAAATATTAAATTTATGTTTATTTTTCATTACAGCCAATCCCTGAGTTATGGTCAAATTACGAAAACTCCCCTTATGTTTGGGTAATTACAGCCACCCCTCAACTATGTATTATCTTACAAAAATACCTCTCTATAGGTAAATTAAGGGATGTTAAATTGGTAATCGAAATTTCGGTACCCCAAACAAGAGGGGTTTTTTCGTAAAAAAAATTAAAAGAAGGGAGTGAATATAATTACCCAAACAATTTTTTTCGTAATTTATCCATATCTAGGGGGTTGCCTTAGTT